AGCAGCTGCCGGCTGCACACAAGGAAGAGAAACACTCAACTTCCTTTTTTTCTTCTGAGACAGAAAAGGAAGTGCCAAAATCACAGAGATAAAATGCACCCAAGCCCTGGAAAACACCACTCCTCCCTGCACCGCCCAGAGACAGCACAGCGCTGGTGGTGTCCTCACATCCACCCAGGGACAACGATTCCAGGGTAAGGGTTTCCACCAGGGAAGCCAGGCTGGCATAAACATGCTGGTAAATATCCCCCTGCAGGCCAGCTTTTAATTACGGAGCTCTTTTCCTTCCAAGTTAACAAATAACGCACGTGGTCACGACAAATTATGCCCTCACTCTGCTGTGCATTCAGGGGCTGTGCTCTGTAAGGAGCAAAGCTTGCAAGGAACATCTCGGAGGATGCAAACGGAGCATGGAGGGGTGCAGCAGCAGCGAGGTGCCTCCCAGCAGCAGCAGCCCTGCCTCTGTGGGTGTGCACGGCCACAAACAGAGCAGGAGCAACATCTCCTTTGAAACTCCATTTCAAAGCAATCGCTGCGCAGCAACGAGAGGCAGCTTGGCAAGAAACACCAACTGTGAGAGGAACCTGCTCACCAGAATAGCTGAAAGGTGTCAGCATGCAACGCTGCACGTCCTTAGAATAGCAAAGCGCAGATGGAGTTAAAAGAAAGAACAATTTTGCACGGCACAGACACCATCTGTGTGCTGTGTGTGTACAGTGCCCACCGCCACCGCTGCGCCTGCAATGCAGGAAACCACGGCTACAAAGGAAACAAGCAGCCACTGCCCACCTCACGTAGCAAAGTTTTATTGAGTGGCTCCCAGGGCTCATCTGTCCCCCAGATGGGGTTCCCCCCTCGGGCAGTGCTGCCTATGGCACAGAGAACACACAGCAGCACTGCACTGAGCCGTGGGTCCGTTCCACTCTGCCTGAGCCTGCAGACAGCACAGCCTTCCTAATGGAAAGGTGCAGGGGGGGCGCACGGCCCAATGAGACCACTTCTCTACATCACCACCAACGCTGCAGGCCCTTCCTTTGTGGGGTTCACTCCTCAGCAGGGTCCCATCCAGCTGCCAAAGAACAGGCGGTGCTGCCACAGAGCTCACGATGGGGAATTCTGTGAAGAGATTTAAAGGAAAATGGAAAGATACAAACGTTTGAACAGACTGGCTTTGTTTCAACACCAGGCCCACGTGCCAGCATCAAATACCTTCGTTATGCATATCTGTGTGGTTACTGGGATAGGCTGCCCAGCTCTGCTCTGTGCAGTGGGGTGGGGAAGAGGGTGGCAGAGCGGAGCACCGGGAGCTCAGAGCAGCACTGTGTGGTGTTTGTAACACTCAGGGGCCCCAAACCTTCAGCCCAGCAGCCCACAGGGACAAAGGCTGGCACCTGGCACAGCGCTGTGCTGTGGAACTAAAGAGCTCCTCTGTGCAAGCACGGCTTTGGTCTGCAGCTTCACGGGTTCCCTGAAGGCATTTCACAGACACTTTACAACCCTAACCGTGCCAAGTAAGCAGCAGCTCTGCTCACTGCTGGCAATGTGTGCTGATCCATGAGCCCCGGCCACCCACCGTTCGTTTCCTGTGGATGGTCACGATGTGGATGTCCTCACTGCGATACTCCTCGTCGTGCTGATCCAGGGGCACTCGTTCCAGCTCAAAGTCCACCTGAAGCAGCTGTGAGGACAGCATGGGGTCATTGGGTGGCACTGGCCTTTGGAATGGAGCGTGCATGAAGACAAGCCCGGTGACAAAGGGGCCCAAAGCAGCAAGTTGCTTGTCTCCTGGTGCAGCTCATTCAGCCTCACTGTAACTCGCCCAGTGCCAATTTACAGCTGCAGACACCTAGCAGTGTAAAATTAGAGTCACTAGTTCAAGGGTAAATCAAAAAATAACCTAAATCGAAGGCTTTAGATAGAAGGGTTTGCTTCCTTCTGTCTCCAAAGCACCACTTCAAACCGCAGCACCTGCCTCGCTCTGCCAGCCCTCGCAACTGGAGGGAAAGGAAAACAAACACACATCGCCTGCAGGATCGACTTGGCTGAACCCCGACGAGCCGAGGAAGGAAATAAATTATGGGAAAGCAGAAATCATCCAGAAACACCCACACTGACTGCATTGACTGCTGTCTGAGGGCGGCCTCCCAGCTGCCTTCACAGGTGCAGAGCCAAACCCGGCGCCAGGGCAGCCCCATAGGGACAGACAGCACTGTGCTGTGAGTCCGACCTGCTCACAACACACACCTGGTCCACGGGAATCCCACCACTACCAGCAGCGCCTCAGTGCAGCACAGCAGTGCCTGGGAATGCAGCTGTGCCATTCTGCAGGGCTTGCTTCCTGAAGCAGCCCGCCATGGAACACGTGAAAAGAAAACAGCTTCTCGCCAGGTTAATGTTTAACTCTCCCCATAACCTCTGTTAGGAACCAGCCGCTGCAGAAAGAAGAGCACGGCCACCTGCTAACCTGCTCCTATGGAATCACTCTGCTCTGACACACACTGGTAATGCAGAGGGGCCATTTTGCAGCTCAGTGTCCAGCCCAAAAGCATCAGCACAGTTACGGTGAGTGCTAACACTCCATACCTTCTGCCTCTGGAGGGAAGGGAAGCTCAGTGAGCACCCAGGAAGGCTCTGCTGATGAAACTGTCACCAAGTTCAGCTCAGCCAACCCATTCCCACACCCCAACTCATTGCACATGCAATCACAGAATGGCTTGGTTTAGAAGGGACCTCAAGGATCACGAAGCTCCAACCCCCCTGTGCCATGCAGGGCCACCAACCTCCACATTTCACAGCAGCCCAGGCTGCCCAGGGCCCCATCCAACCTGGCCTTCAACACCTCCAGGGATGGACGGGGCATCACAGCCTCTCTGGGCAGCTGTTCCAGCACCTCACCGCTCTCACAGCACACAACTTCCCCCTGACATCCAACCTCAACCTTCCCTCCTTCAACTTCACACCATTTCCCCCTGTCCTGCCGTTCTCTCCCCTTTCCAAGAGCTGCACCTGAAGCACACAACACAGACACTCACCTCGAAGTACCTTCTCTCTATCTCGGGGTTCCTCCCCATGGTCCTCTGCTCATAGCAGCACAGCACACACGTGTCGGGGCCGGTCAGCTCTCGCAGCGTCTTCAGCAGCGGCTCTAAGGACTGCCCAAAGGATAAGAATTCCCCACTTACATCATCGGCACGGTGCCCACCGCCTCCAGCCCCGGGCAGCTCCTCAGTGCCGTTACGCGGCACAACGGGGACGAGCGGGGCGCGCAGCGCGGCGCGGCCGTTTCCTCACGCTTCTCCCCGCTCACAACCGCCGCGGGCCCCGACGGCGCGGCGCTGCTTTACCTCCTCGTAGTAGATGCAGTCGGCCATGAGGATGTAATCGGGGGGCGGTCGGAACTCGGACACGTCCTCACCCCTGCGAGGCGGCGCGCGGTGAGCGCGGGGCGAACGGAAGCGGGGCGGGGGAGGGGGGAGCCGCGGTGCATACAAACCATTTCAGTACCTCGGCTCGCACCGACCCGGTCACCAGGTGCCGGTTGTTCTCGATGTTGACGGCCAGCAGCTCCTGCAGCTCCTGCAGGTCGGTGAGCGTCACGTCGGCCCTAGGACGCGCGGCGGCCGTCAGCCCGCGACCCCCGCGGCCCCGCCCGCAGCCCGCGGCCCGAGGACGGCGCGGCCCCGCGCTCACCCCAGCGTGGCCGCCATGATGCCGACGGCGCCGGTGCCCGCGCCCAGCTCCAGCACGGCCCTGCGCGACAGCGGCCACGCGCCGCTCTCCAGGAACTTGGCGAGCACCAGAGCCGCGTCCCACACCACGCAGCCCACGCCGCCCGACCGCTGCTCCAAGCGCAGCGCCGGCCCGGCCCGCCGCTCCAGCTCCCGCACGAAGCTCGCCATGGCCGCAGCGACTGAGCCGGCGCGGCCCCTCCTACAGTGCGGGCTGACAGGGTGGGAGGGAGGGCAGGTTTGGAAGTTGTGTGCTGTGAGAGCGGTGAAGTGCTGGAACGGCTGCCCAGAGAGGCTGTGATGCCCCGTCCATCCCTGGAGGTGTTGAAGGCCAGGTTGGATGGGGCCCTGGGCAGCCTGGGCTGCTGTGAGATGTGGAGGTTGGTGGCCCTGCATGGCACAGGGGGGTTGGAGCTTCGTGATCCTTGAGGTCCCTTCCAACCAGGGCCGTTCTGTGAGGGCTGGAGCAGCTCTGCTGTGAGGAAAGGTTGAGGGAGCTGGGCTTGTTCAGCTTGGAGAAGCTCCAGGGAGACCTCATGGTGGCCTTCCAATATTTGAAGGGAGCGGATAAACAGGAGGGGAACGGCTGTTTGTGAGGGTGGATGGTGATGGGACAAGGGGAATGGTTTTAAAGTGAGACAGGGGAGGTTTGGGTTGATATGAGGAGGAAGTTTTGGAGCCAGAGGGTGGTGAGGCACTGGCACAGGTTGCCCAAGGAGGCTGTGGATGCCCCATCCCTGCAGGCATTCAAGGCCAGGCTGGATGTGGCTCTGGGCAGCCTGGGCTGCTGGTTGGTGACCTGCACACAGCAGGGGGTTGGAGCTGGATGAGCACTGTGCTCCTTTGCAGGATTACTGCACCCAGAACTGGGCCTCCCTGAAATTCCCATAACAACGTCTGGTTTGAGAAAACATGAACTGTAAAGAATTCATGGTCAGATAAGTGAAACAGCAGCACGGATATCTACTTTAAGGAGGAAAAAAAAAGCCACAAGAAACAAGAAAAAGAGAAATTACTGCAGGCAGCTTTTTTGCAACAGTAATTTCTGTGGTTTCTTGCCATATTTACACAATATCATTTTAGTCACTCCCCTAGCAGGAGATTGCTATAGTGATTGATAGTGCTGTCAACAATGACAGAAGACTCCAGCAACTCAAGTGTACAAAGTGCAATGTGTAAAAATCAAGGCAAATGAAAAACAGCAACTGAGTTTTAACTAAAGAAAAAAAATATATATATATAAAACCAACAAACAGTTGAAATTAATGTTTTATGAGGTTACTGAGAAATGTTATTGTGCATTCCATCACATGACTGGAAGGTAAGATACTCAGGTGTAAAGTGGTATTTTTAGCTGGGGGAAAAAGAAATGTTTGCTCTGAGATAAGCTAGAAGCAGTATCTTTCAGTAACAAGAAACACCCAGATTTAGAAGAACACTCAAGTTTTGCTGGAGATCCACCTCATTATCCACCACAGAATTCCAGAAGGAACTGATATGGCTTATATCAGTATTTATGGGTTATAAAAGCTCTCTTTTCTCACAGAGCCTGGTGAATTCCAGCTATGCAATGTACAGCACAAGACTTACAAATCTAGGAGGTTGCTTGCAGTTTCGAGGTTCAATTTCTAACGACTTGTTGAACAGATAATCTGTAAACTCTTTTTCAGGTATCTTCCCCATAGGATTGAGATTTTCAAAGAATTTCTAAACGAAACAAGCATCAATAATATTTTCTTTAAAATAAACACAGAGAGGATTTGAATGAAATACAAATCTAGCTCTTCACTACACAACTCCTGGTAAGCGTCCCAGTGCGAATGAAGGCCCTGATTTCAATAAGCAGGCAATGGAATTGTAAAATGAGGGGTTTTGTAAACTGTTTGCCAATATCTTGTTACTAGCTGACCATGTCCAGCAGAGCACTGCTACAGCATACGCTGCGTGCTTCCCTTCACCTAACAGCACAGATCTGGGAAGGAGCAGAATGCAGATCACACGGCACTGAAAGCTACGCCAGGGATGTTTTTAAGGGGTATTTCAGATGTCATCAGTTAATTCCAAAGGCCAGGAAGGCACAAAGGACAAAAGCAGAAAGAGGCAGAGCACAGCACCGAGGGCACAGTGCAGCACCCAGCCCCCTGCACCTGATGCAGCCGAGTCCCTGGGAGTGAGGGGCAACTCTGGCACAAATGCTGCCATCCCTCAGGTGTAATTTGCTTCTTGGTTTAAGAACGCTGGCATCTCCAAAATCCTTCCCAGAAATGTCTACAATGATTCAACACAGGATGCAAGTAGCTTTTTTAAACAACAGTATTATTGCCTGTGTAATTCTTCAGGCAAAGGAACCAAGCTTTTTGTTGCTTCCTGACTGATGCTGTTCACAAACCAAGAGAGCTACCCACAGGATTGTTTACTGGAAAGGTTACCATTAGCTGTGCACTCAGGAAGAACTGCTGGTACATAAAGCTGTTCTTTTAAATCATTATTACCTCTGTAGACAAACACCTGCCTTCTTGTTCCATCGTCTTCCCTTAAATTCCTTCAAATACCCAGGATACACGAGGTCTCTGTCTCATAAGTAATCTCTCCAGCATCCTTCCTCGTTTCTGCAGGCAGTGCTGGCTGACTCTGGTACACCCCTGCATTTATTAGCTTCCCTCACTGAATGAGGCTGCTCATTCACGTCTCTGCCATTCCACAGGTCAGCAGGCTCTGCTCAGCAGGTTCACTGCAGAACCCCTGAAGGACTCATTGCCCCAGGCACATACACAGCATTATAGATTAGAGGGAAGCAATTTTTCTTCTGCTGCTTAGTCACTGTATCTCATTCACTGCTTTACTGCTCAGAAATCTCACCACTACCGGGCTGCAGAACAAGGAGATGAACAAGACCCAGAACATGGAACCCAAACAAGCAGACCCCATAGCTCTGGTTGGGCTTCTGCTGTGGTACTTCTGCCACGTGCTGCTTCCAACCAGCCACCATTCCCTCCCTCCCTCCCCTGATGGTCACTGCTGACCCAAGATCAGGTCTGGTGCCAGAAGAGCAGCTGACCATTTTCTGTTGTGCACATTCCTTTCCTTCTCTTATTCCCCAAACAAAATGTTTAAGTTTTGATTACCCGAATTTCTGGCTCTATCCGTAAACAGTAAGGCTGGTTTTGATACTGCTGAATTTCTCCTGTAATTTCAGCCACTTTTCTCCTCTTACTGAAATTAATTAATTCTTTCCCTTGTCTCTTAAGGAAGTCAGGATTCCCTTCTTCTGTCTTCAGAATATTTGTTAGGTATATTCCTGAGAAAAGGAGAGATGGTTTTGAAAGTTCATTTGCATTCAAACAGCTGATTTCATTCTTTACAACGAATGAAAGATTGAAAAATAGAACCTGAGCATAAGCAGATCATTCCCTTTAATACTCCAACAGTTTATTAGCTGTCAGGAATGAATTAAGTTTGCCTTTTACATAGGAACAAGGTATTATTTAAATAGGATGCTTTTCCTGAATTCAGCATCTCGTGTTACGGAGATGAAACATTCAGGTCACATCACCAATGCAGTATTAAAATGAAGTAACAGCCATACCAACAGCACCAGTAATCTGTATCACTAAATTAACTTCTACACAAAGGCACTAAGCCTAAGAATATTACAGATCTATCAAGTCAAACTAGGATTCTGCTGTATTAAAGGATTTTTAGAGCAGAACACAACCTTTAACTTGGAGAAAAGCTAACACATCTGTATCAAACCCAGTTTAAGGCAGGCAGTACGTTGAGCCTGTTCTGGTGTTACTTACCAAAGAAAGGCACGCAGGGTGGATTGATTGACTTGAGTTTAGCTAGGTATTTTTTGAAGTGATCTTGACTTAGTTCTACTGCCTCATCCAAAACTCTCTTTTTCCTTTCCTGTAGTGCCTTAGTTGTCAAAGAGAAAAAACAAAGCAGCTATGTGGTCAGGAAAGAACCAAAGTCATGATGTAGCTCTCTTAACAAAACTTAGAAACTCAAATTCATATCTGAAAGCATCTCTTATGTCAATGGTTTGTTCTGAACCACGGCATCATCAGTCCATAACCCCAGTCATGGGACTTTTGAGGCTACTGCAAACACAGACTATCAATTTTGTCCATCGATTTAGAAGCATAACCCCAGTCCTTTAATGCAATAAAAACCAAACATTTGATTTTGAATCGAATTTACAGGCTCTGTGTGGCCTTTCAAATAGTTATGAAACTCGAAACATCACATTAATGCTTCATTTTCTATGTTAGTCAATGGAAGCTTTGCTGCCAAATCCAGGGCATTCCTTTTTCTTGTCAAGTGCAATAAGGAGTCACTGTCAGTGCAGCAGTTTCTTTCTGCTGTTCATATAAACCATCCAGCAATCGTTTCTTTCTGCCTCTGACAATCAGAGCTGTCTTAGACTCTCATCCAAGAGGTGTTTGAGATAACTGCGAGCTGAGTTACAGCTTCCTTCTCCCTGCCCTTCTATCCTTGCACAGGCACCAGGTGCTGCAGTTCAAGTGCTCAAGGTCAGGGTTCTCAGCCTTGGGATCCTCCTCTTTCAGACTCATAAAACAGCAGCCTGAAGCATCAGCTTTGTTTCAGACAAGTTAATAAGCAATCAAGGCCACGTTGCTTCCCCTTTTTGAGCTGAGCACAAGACGACAGCTGCTGAAAAGCTCCATTTCCCCTTACAAATCCTTTGAGACATCCAGCCCATCTCATACTTCTCATAGCTCTTAGTCTTGTAACTTACTGTCTTCTAAGAAAGCAACAGTGATTTGGACTTCACTTAGGAAGTCTGCCTGGTGCACTCCTGGATCCCAGAACTTACCTCGAATGTGTGATCCAGCCTGTAGACCGACACAGAGTTCATTGCACTGACTATCTCCAAAACACCATTGAAATTGTTCAGATCTTGAAACACTTGCAGGATTTCTATAATCCTGCTCAGCACAGCCACTCGCTCTTCAAAGTTCTCAGTTTCCACTATGCACCTAAATCGAAAGAAGTCACTTGAGAAACACCAATAAATACAGCCTGACATTCTGCTGGCTACTTCACTGAAGAATTCCATGTCAGAACTCTGTAGTACATCCAGCAGGCACATTTTGGCACACTCTCAAGGATCTCAAGCACTAATTTATGTAATCACATCTTGTATATGCTCAGGTTGAAAAGCCAAGAGAGACTTTGGCTCATACTATAAAAATAGAGCAAAACTCTAGCAAGATCCAGGGTAAACAGGGTGACTCACTCAACCTGCAGAATCTACAATGGTGTATTAAATTCACAGGGTTAGGTGTGCACACACAGAGTGCTACATCCTCCTGCTGTGACATGGCCACGTCCTAAGAAGGATCTGATGTGAGGAGGGAGAAGGATGAAGGTGAAGCAACAGACACAACAGTGCTCTCAGCAGTGATGTACAGAAGTGGTGCTGAGGCCAGCATTGCCCTCAGTGCTTTCTGATGTACTGTAAGTAATATAGACAGGGCTTGTGTTGACTAAGCAGACATTACTGGAGAAACATCATCTGCTGCAGGGAGCAGTGAGTCTCTGGGACTGACATGGCACGTTCTCCTGAACCAAAACCCAAATCTACTGTGGTACTCTGCTGCCATCTCAAGATTCGAGGCAGCACAGTTCACATCAGAAAAGAAGGTTTCTCAATTTCAGATGGAGTTCACGCCACCACACTGACATCATCACCTCTGTACTTACTTTTCAAACCACAGAGTAAGGTTTGTAGTATGGCGAATCATTTTCAATAGGTTTGGGGAGTTAATTTCCTTATCTTCTTTAGTCCAAACGCTACCGACGAGTTCAGAAGGCTGCACTGCCCTGTTATGACAAAGGAGTGCTCAAATACAAGCAATAATGTACATTCTGTGTTAGCATTGCAAGGTTATTTCTTCTCTTAATCAGAAATTGGTATTTCCCAAATATGATTCCATAACAGTTATTTTAAGGAACTTCTCAATGAGGACATCTGGGAAGAAGAAAATCCATTCCTATCATAACTGAGATTGGCATTTTTGAATAAGCATTTCTACCTAAGAAAAGTACAACAGAGTAAGTTTCATCTCCTGGAAGCAGAAGGAAGCACCCTAAAGACAGTTACAATATTTTTTAAATAGGAAGCTACAGGACTTTGCAGAGTGGGGAAAAGTGGCCCATTTCAATAGGAAATCTGCTGTCACTGAAACGTTAAGGGAGCTTCACCTTTGAGTTCTGTAAGACCACAAAGAGCTTCTATCCTGCAAAGCTGAGTTCTCTCATCAAGGCTTTATTTATTATAGTAACAGCAAAGCAAGGAAACAGCAGAGCGTGGCACCAGACTAAAAGACTCTTAGATCAGAGGAGCCTGCTGTAGCAGAGCTGCAGCTGTATGGCAACAGCTGTGCCTTTGCTATGCAACTGAAAAAGGGGAAGATGCAATCAGGTGTTATCTTTTGACAATGCAAAAAGTGTTTCTTATTCAGGTACCAGAGTTCACTTCTGGCAAGGAGGCAGCAAGTTCACATTATCTACTCCTGATACTTCAGCTTCTTCATTTACTGTACTGATTGAGTTACGCTGTCAGAAGTCTGGTATAGAAATACAGAATGTATTTTTTCTTGTGCGTATTTTGGCATCAAACAGAAAACCTCCTTCCATAAACTCTGTAAGTGAGGGGGATGCATTTTGGACTGATTCTAAGCATTTTCAGGGGGTGAAACATGCTGAGAGAGACGTGCACTCAGTCAGCCCCACCTGTACAGGTCAGACTCGAGCAGCGTCAGCTGCCGAGCGATTTCGATGGGATGCAGAGTCATGAGGTCCAGCATCTCGCTGTGCCCCACACGCCAGATGTGCCACTCGATGGGGGGAGGTGGACTCTCAAAGGTGATGTTGTGACTGATCCCATTTGCCTGTGCTTTCTTTCTCCTGATGATTTTAGCAATCGATTCCACCCACTTCTTCATGGATTTTCCTACAGCACAGAAACCACGAGAAACATTTTCAGTACCATCTTAATTGACTTCTGGTACTTTAATGAAACTCAGTAATAAATGTACTCAAAATACTGCATTTCCACAGGCAGATCAGTTAGGTTTGTAGGTGCCCAGTTGTGTATAAATGCACCTACTGACACTTCTAGAGAAATTAACCAACAGAGAAGGAGCTCTCAACAAATATGGGATGGAGAGAAGGAAGTTGACAGTCAGGCAAGGATGAACATTACTGTCCAGAAGTAAACACAGTGAGGTTAAACAATACAACAGGGCTTGAAACACTTTTCAGTAGCCATTTAGAATCCAAACCTAAGACTGCTCGTGTAAAGTCACATTAACAGTTCAATTAAAGACACTAAAATTACTACTGTGTGTACAGATATTTTCATGCCCAAAATCCAACAGTAGCAGACCAGCAGGTTGTATCAAAACTTGGAAGAGAGGACAAGCAATTCACACACCTCTTACACTTGAAATAAACGTCTCCAATCTCTCCAGTAACTCCAGATCTCTTTCAAAATCATAAAAATGGTGTTCCACCCAGTGCCGAAAAACATTTAATATTCTGAGGAAGGAGAGAGAAAGAAATATTATGGTTTTAAGGACTCGAAGCTCATTCCATGCAAACATGAAACAAAAGGACTGTAAAAAAGCTGAGTTACAGATTCATGCAACCATAAACTATCAAAACTCATAGGAACACTAAAAAACCCAATTTGGATCAACTGTTTCATTAGAAACAAATTTCATTCCCACACAATTTCATCTTTTAAGTTGTTGCAAGCATGCTGCTCTACTGCTGGAAATTCATGACAGCTGCTACCATCAAAGGAGTTACAGTTTGAAACAAGCTCCCAGTAACAGCACTGCAGGATCTTGTTCCATCAGTCTTGGAGCTGTCATGGTAGAAATCCTGACAAAGCAGGACAAGCTGCCTGGTTCTGCTGACTGCACTTCAGCTCAAACAGAAAACCTCTGGTGACCTCACACGTATTTAATCTGGTCAATGCCATTAACATTTCCATGCCTGTGCACTGCACAGCATGGCTGCAGCATTACCCACAAGAGGTGGAATAAGCACTCAAGAAGAGGAAGGAATGAGCATCTTCATGTCCTCCACTGCCTTCCCACATCTCAGACTGCTCTGAAGTAGAGGTCAATGCTATTAACAAAACTGGTATTTACAAAGTGTATATCAAACTAACAGCTCAAATTCAGACACTTCTTTGGAACTGTAAGAGAACTAAGAGTTCCAAGCTACTGTAAGATCTCCTCAATTCAAAGATTAACTATGAACCACAGAAGTGTGAGTGTTAATTAGCCACCTTAAAGCACATCTTTCATCAGGCAGGCAGTAATAAGGACACTGCTCACCAACCACAGCAGCAATTAGACAGCAAAGCATAGCTGTCACAACAATGGGTATCCTAATCTCTCAAATGAGGAAAGAGACCAGAAACCTAACATCCTGGATATGTCAAAATTAGGCACAGGTTTAAAGAGCTTAAACATCATACGTAAGGCAAAAGCACTGGATTGATTTTGGAAATGAATAGCAAGGAACATAGTTACGAGCTGCCTCAAGCCTTTCTATAGGTTCCATTTCACTGCTTATCACTGCTTCTGTTCAGCTACGGCAGTCAACAGTGCTGTAGGAAGATCACAGAATGGCCAGGGCTGGAAGGGACCCCAAGGATCACGAAGCTCCAACCCCCCTGTGCCATGCAGGGCCACCAACCTCCACATTTCACAGCAGCCCAGGCTGCCCAGGGCCCCATCCAACCTGGCCTTCAACACCTCCAGGGATGGACGGGGCATCACAGCCTCTCTGGGCAGCTGTTCCAGCACCTCACCGCTCTCACAGCACACAACTTCCCCCTGACATCCAACCTCCATCTGCCTTCCCTCAGCTTCAAACCATTTCCCCTTGTCCTGCTGTAAGATGTATTTGTAACAAGGGAAGGAGCACTGAGGAGATCCCCAGCTAGCAGAGGTTATGAAAATGGCATCAAAAGCAGCATAACTATATTTAAACTCTTCCTCCAGTTAGGTTACAAAAAGCCATTCAGTGCAGGTTTCTTGGGAGGGGCTCTATAGGCACCTTACATGGATGTCTGCAGAAACAGCAAACAGAAAATAGCAAGGAAAAATACGTGCTGAGAGGGAGCATGTGAAGACCTTCCAGGAACTGATAGCTCTGGAGACTAGTGGCCTTGCTGAACCCACAGGGACAGATAAACTCAGAACACCAAGAACCTGCCAAATCTGTACAAGGACAAGAGCACACACAACTATCAAGGTTACACTGGGATTGTATTACTTGGGTCACTTCCAAGAAGGTGCTGACTCTTATCAACAAGAACTACAGGATTACATACATACATGCTTGGGTGTTTTGTTTGGAATATTTGTACACGGGTATGTGATGAAAAAAAGCACTAAGTGACTTTCTAAACACCTATACTGAAGGAACTGGCATGTCATAACCCTCCACTTAAGTGTAAATTGCTCCAAGCAGGTTAACTACGAATGACTGTGCAAGGAGGGAAAAGATGAGGGCACCGGGCCTCTGGTTATCTGCCATTCATAATAACAGCTTGATGCCACTAATAACAGTGTAATGAATAAAAGCTGTTCTAGCAAATACTTGTTGTGATCTGTGTCTCCTCCTGACTCTTTCCTATCAGGGAAACAACTGGCCTCATTCATGCTAGAAGTGCTTAATTGTTGCCCAAGTTAGCTTGGTCAGCAAGACCTTGAAGATTCACTGCAGCCTGTTGCAAAGCACGGTGCAGACAAGAGTCTCCCTTTGTGCAAATCCATCAATAGGGCTGGGAAAGGGAGTAAAATACCAGAGGACTGAAAACACGGAGACAGAAACTATCTTCACAGGGCCTATTAACAAGGAATCTGTTCAGAACGCCGTCAGAATCACTTTCAGTTGAACATCTCTCACCCACTGTTGCTTTACACAGCAGCCATACAGCGTTCCTGTGGGTGACAGAGATCACAGCTGTGTGCAGCAGAGAACCAAGCAGAGTTGCAACAACAACAACAGAAGCCAGTATGACTAATCAGAACATGGTTTGGGCTATTAGTCTGGTCACAGACAATGATAAGTCCCTACTTGACAGCACAGCAGTCTCCTAAGGAGATTACTGTCTCCAGGAACGCAATATAATCACCAAACTCAAATCTGGATTTAACAGAACAAATTTAAAAGCAAATAAACCTGAGTTGCACTGGCTGGACGTATTCCTTGCGAAATCGCTTCAGGTCTGCACTGATGGGCTGCTCCCCTTTCTCAATTGCCAGCCTGTCTGCTTCAGTAGGCTCAGGCTCTGGGATTTCAAACCTATGAATACAAGCACCAGAAAACCGATGGTAATTAAGATAAAACCCAAGCCCTTTATGTAGGACACGAAGAGCAATTTTATTTAAAGAAATTCAATGCAGCGAAACTCAAGCACTCACTCATCCAGTATCCAGTCCGCCTGGAATTCCCTCCTCCCCAGCTATGCTGTGCTAACACACCCTGCCCTCACCCTGATAATTTGCTGGTTTTCTGGTCATCACAAGACGTCTAGACTAGGATAGAAGGTTTTTAACTACCTGCTAGCTTGATTAAGCCAAGATTAGAAGAAAGCTGCAGAGCAGCTTTATCACAGTGCATTAACATGCTGTTTACAGTAAGAGTCTGTGCCTTTCAAACAAACTGACTAGAACATTTCAGTTCTTATTTGCATTGAGACACACTCAAATATGCTCTTATGATTAAGTGAAGCAGTACAAAACATAACCAGCTGGCAGCCGAGGCACACTGAGTGCTCGAGCTGGTAAGGCATTCAGGTATTAATTTAACAAAATGGAAAAGAAAAAGCTTGCATTAAAAGAGATCAATGCCCATTTTTGAAGTTATTTTTGATGACCTTCACTGTTTTTCCTGTTTGCCAAACGTACGACACACAGCACCAAGAACCTGAGCAGAAAAGGAGATGGTAAAGGAACCCAAAGCCCTTCTGTGCATCTTCAGAAAGGACGATCGCTGCTTACCTTTCAATCAGTAAACTCAGCAGTTCCTGGGGCTTGCAAAAGGAGCGGTATGTGGTAAGGAAAGTACGTACAAAATTGGGATCTGTAAAGACAGAATACAGAAATATAGTAAGTTGAGCACTGTGGCTTAGAAAACACCAGAACTGATACTGCTGAAAGTTCAGCTCTTTGCTTGAGCCTTGCTGAACAATTCAATGGCACGTGCTATGCTCCCTCAAACACTGCGTGCTCAACCTTGGCACACGGAATGCCTTACACTCACTGAATAGGAAACTATTCAGTGACTTCATAAAGACAAAGAAAATATGGTCGAACTACCTACTATCTGCACATCAAAAACACCCCTACTGCCCCAACAAAACATCTGTCTTACCTGCTCTTTAAATAATCTCCCCAGCAGGGACTGCACACCTCACCCAGCCACGCCACAGCAGCATACAGGCAACCTTTGCAGGGCAGTCAGCAGTGAAATCATTACAAGAAGCACAGACCTTACAAAGCAAATACTTGCAGCAATTCCAGACGCTGCACCTCCAGGAGCCACCACACCTCCTTCCTGCTGCTCCTCTCTGCTAGGCAGGACTGTTACCACCAGACGTGCCTGTCCACAAGCCAATGCAACTCTCAGCCAAGTGTCAACCTACCTTTCCAGGCATTTTAGCTGAGCCCAGCATGTGTTTCAGTTGGCACACTGATGCCTTAGAAGCATGCATCAATTACAGTCCTGTTTATCAAAGGCATTAGGTGCACTCTGCATCACATCTGAAGTACAGTTTCTGCCCTGTCACCTGCACCAGCACTCCCATCAGCTCGCCCCTCTGCAATAAGGAATGCAAGTCCAACGGGCATCTGCTACAAAGCTCTGTCAAACCAACTAACCAGCACAGAGCTGAGGAAAGCACCCAGTCCTCTGCAGACCACTGCATCGAGGTGCTGCAAACAAAACGTTGCTCCTTTACTCCCCAGCTGAAGGCCACCTACTGGCCTGGGCAAAAGATCACAGCCCCTATAAACAGAGGATCTTAACTCGTCCCCAAAGTACCAACCTGGACACTGAGGAAGGTGGCACAGTACACAAACATTGGGTAGCAAAAGACTAAGGACACATCTGCCATAAGAAATAGAAATCTAATTAAATAATTAATTGCAAATGCTCCCACCGATTTCAATAACGTCCCTTTAATTTCTTTCGATTCCACTCTTGTAGGATCCCCCAAGATTGTGAATAAGCAAGCTGATCAACAAACCACTTCACTACAAATCCTGAAGGGTCATTACCCACTCCTAATCCTTCCATCCACACACAGCCACCCGTGGCAGATGCACAGCAGCAACTGAAGGCTGAAATAAAGGAAAACCAGGCCTGGAGAAGCGCATGGGCAGATGCTCCCTCAGAAATGTTTGCAGTTGTTCAGCCTTCCTTTTTCTTGCTGGTCTGTAAACAGTCTTGAACCTGTCAGCGTTTAGTGCAGGCAGCTCACACCAGCAGTCAACATGCAGTCAACTAATTTCTCTAAGAGACACACAAAAGACAAAGCAGGATGCTTCTAGGCAGGCTTCATTCCCCGCAAAGTACTGTTCAATGCTTTTAAGGGATCCTATACAAACCAGAAGTAATGGTGCTTCATTCCGTGATAATGCTGCTGAGTTTGCATCCTAGTGCTGCCCTGGCCTGTTCTGCTTCTACATCACATCACTCTTGGGTATTATTTATGACACTTTTAGAAGAAAATCCTCCTCTTACAACGGCACAGGCTCTCTCTGCTCAGCAAGCCTTTCCAAAAGGTGACTGCTGCTCTGCCTTCAGAGCTGTGCAGGTGCCCTCACATTATCTTTTAGATTTTTTTTTTAAAGTAACATTTTCAATACAATGGAAAATACAAGCAGTGTGTTTCTAATAGCAGCTCACGGGTCACATGCAGGAGATTAACAACTGCATCTGCTGCTCTGCATCTGTTACGTCCCACGGCAGCCCAGTACCAACTGGGGAGCTGTTAGGACAGAGGTCGTTGTGCAAATGAAGAGCCTCTGTGCTGGGACAAACCTGCTCCCACCAAACCTGAAACTAACACAAACATACAATAAACTGAACAGCTACAAGCGTATTTTGACCTAAACACAAAGATAAAGCACCGCCACGATCTGCTAGGAGTCCCTCCCTGTGATGTTATTGAAATGTCCTTGTAGAAGGAGGGTTTGTTAGCCTTGGCTCCAAACACTGCTTGGAGAAAAGCGCATGGGAACCCAAGAGACAATGCTTTCACCAAGGATTCCCAAGGCCAAAGCAGCAAGAATTCGTGCTATAAAAACTTGCAGAGTTATGCTATCAAACTGATGCTCCAATACACTCTGAAAAAGACACATGCCACAGAAACCCAGCACATTTTAGATGTGGAGGACTTGGAATTCACAGGCAGCACAGCTATGGGTTACCTGCATGACCCCTAGTTGGATCAACACTGAATTTCAGTGTTCCCCTTTCTTCTTGAAGATACACAGCTCAAAGCAATCCAGCTTTAGTTGTTACACAGTGTGTGTGTTTTTAAAGACTCGTACAGAAGATCTATCAAATATTTCCAGCAGTGTAAGCACATTCAATACCTACAAGCCTGATTTCTGTGGCTCTGATATTGTGTTTCACAGAAAAGTCTGAAGAACTGACTGTGATTTGCATCCTTTCCTACTGAGGGGCTTCAGAAAGCAGCAGGCTGAAGTATAACAAATGACCTCCAATGTTTCTCCTCCTCCACACAGCCTGCAACAGCCCTGCTGCTTTAGCCATGAGGGTCTTGGGAAATGAATAAGCAAAGGTTTAACAGAATCAGCAGCTCCTAGTAGTCCATTGTGGGGAGGAAAGGGGTCTTGCAGCCCTAAGGCTTTTTTAAAGCTTTGCAGGCGAGGCTGCTTGGTTTAATAACAGATATTGGTTACTTCTGCAAATCTCACATTACATTTAACCAAATGTAGCAAAAAAAAAAAAAAAAGAAAAAAATAGCAAACAATAGATGATAGGACCGATTTCATCCCCCATACGTGCACCATCTTCAAAGACACATGTATCAAATGCACAGGGTACCTGCATACATATGGTACGTTAGCCTCTCGATTAATTTCACAACCGTTCCTCCTTTGATGATGGGAATTCCATTCCTGCTTTGCAAGTTGTCCTCAAAAACAATGTTATCCTCAGAATCTTCTACGACAAAGCGGTACACGCTTGGGCTGGGCAACCTCAGTGGCTGCTCATTTTCCTCCTGCAGCAACACTGAGTCGAGCATCCTATCCAGAGTACTCCGATACTGGAGGGAAATCAGAGCAGCCATCCAATTACTCTTCTCTTCAGCAGACTTGGCAGCGAAGAGTATACTGTTTTCATCTTTAGACACCAGTTCAAAAGCATGTTTGTATTCAGATGTGTCATCTTTATCAATGATCTGTATTTTTCTCATGATTATCTTTTCCTTCAGTCTGTACTCCGCGTTGCTGTAACCGGGGAGCCGCGACTGGCCATGGTTAGTTTTACAGCTGATCATTAAGCCATCAAAGAGAAAGATGTGCCGTTCGTGTTTAGCTCCTATTTTTGTCAAGGTGCCTTCCATTATGAATTCATTGCAGCACTGCCCAATATCTTTGCCTTCCCAGCCATCAATATTCTTCTGGATTTCGTTCATTTTCTTGATGGCCAAGTGCTTGCTTCTTATTTGCCGGTTGTAGAAGCGACAGACTGGCTCCCTTGAATGGATAAAAGAAAGTCACAATGGGCACATTCCATCCCAACAGACTGAAAACCAACTACGTTAGCTATATTAATGTCCTTATTTCTTCCCCCTGAATGCCCTAACCAAGTTTACTGATCCAAATAAGCCACGTGTACTGCTTTGGCTAGTGAAAGAATAAGATACTGACGTTACCCATCGAAGGTTTTGGGCTGCTATTCCATTTACAATGGAAACGGTCACAAAGACATCTCTTGAAAAGGAAACACACACTAACTAGAGAAAAACAACAACGCCTTCCACATAATTTCTTTCTTTCTCTGCCAGTATTGCAAAACCAGCACAGGTTTGTGCCTTATTACCCAGGCCGGCGTCTTGGGGAGTGTTTGCTGTAGATGCGCTCCATGCTGCACTGGAGATTCAGAAGAGCAGTAATGGCTTGCTTTAAGCACTCCCGATCCTCCTCATCTTCACTGCATTCCTGCAGTTGCTGCAACATAAAAAACGTTTTTCTTTCAGATTTGTCTAAAGGACAGAAGGGTAGGAAGACTGACAAACATTCTTACAGTGTTTTTCACAGTGCTCAGTGAAATCAACGGCTTCCAGTTGACAAAAGAGTTGTGCCCAGCAGCACCCCCAGAACTAGCAATGCACGTACCCCAAAAATACATCAGATACTGAGGAGTGATCTGTACAAAAGCAGAGAGAGGTAGGGAGTGTAGGAAGACAACCCAGAACAGAGAACTGATGCTAACAGTCAGAGACGCCGTTTCTCTATCTGTTCACTAACGTTGTGTTCCACAGCTGATAAGTTTTGTTCTATAGCTTGGAGTTTTGAAGCAGTCCAGGATTAAATGTTGTTCTACGTAACTACATGTGATACTTCAACGAGTCAATTAACCTTAACATTTCAGAGCACATTTAAAGGACAGAAAGACAAACGTTCACCTTTTTCTTCTTACTGTTCTAAATTCAGCCATCTTCAGTATATTAATCTGCATCAACTTTGCATGACAAACTCTCCCATCCTAAATAAAGTCTGAAACTTGAGACGTGCTGCTAATAGCAAATGTAAATGGTGGGAATCAGCACAAAGGCTAAATCTGCCTCTGCCACTAGTTTGAAACTTCTTGAATATGAAACATATGGAGATATGAAAGCTAGTTACTTTTGACAGCAGCATGCTTTGAGAAAGGCCTTTTCAGAGAATTCCTCTTTTTGGTTAAGGTCATCACTCCTAAAGCACGACTGATATAAGTAAGATTTTTGTTTGTAACCCCTTTGGTGTTCAAGATAATATAAATGTCTTCAAGAAAATTCAGGCAAACAGAATTGCTGGGCTGTATCAGGACAATATGCCACACGATTTCGGATGAACCCTGTTTTACCTCCATACTTTAAGAGAAATCTTACTTACAATCACTCAGCATGGCAGAAGCCTTCTTTTCCTTTCCCCACTACGTTCCCTCAGCAAGGATATGTAGCGTCCTCTAAAAGTAATTGAGAGAACAGGATTTGACCAGCCTGGTCCACTCTCCTCATGTAACTGAAATGACTATGATTTTTCTTTTGCACATGCCCAAATTCATCTTGCATATTAGAAAAATGAAGTTTTCACAAAAATCTCTAGGAAGTTTATGAGCTGAGGAACAGTACAGGGAAGGGAAAAATAAGATGCCTATCCCTGTGGAAACCCTTCCCTTCCTTTGTATGAGGCACAGAAATGCAAAGAACATTAAAATGACTTGAAGAGAGCAAAATCCTAAATGTGGGAAAAGCTACTTGCTCTATTACTCTTCCTCCTCACCTGTCCTGAGCACAGTTTCTTGCATACCCTATCCAAACTACGAGCTTTGCAAGTTAGCAGGCGTCAAATGGCATACTTTGCTTTTTGCTGGTGCTGGTATTGAAAACAAAGCCTCCACTTGTCCAGTAACCCACTCCAGTTCCAAAGTTAATGCCCAGATCCCTGGCCATCAGGCAGATTACCTCAAGTGTGTCTCTTTCTCTGTAATCACTCCATCAACATCTGCTTCTCCAAATGCCTGCTTTTAATCAAGCATCTTTTTGTCTAAACAGCAGATGCAAAAGCATAACATGGTTGCTAGACAGAGAAAATAGGTAAATATTTAGGAAAAGGGAGAAAAGGGTCCCTCTTACATCAGATATAGTTAGGAATATAATCAGAATATATGCACATTTAAGATACTAGGTGATGATAAATTGAGAGTATTTCCTTCTCACTTTATTATACAGAAAACTGTCAGAAAACAGAAAAGCAGCATTCATTAGAGAAAGGATGCCGTGGTGATGCTGTAGCACACTGGAAAGGGTTTCTCTGTCTGTATCAGTGATGAGGAAGCAGTGGAAAAGATCAAAAGGCAGAATTGCACAGACTTTGTGTTGCTTGACGACAGTGTAACAAGTCACAGGCATGAATGGGGGCCATCTTGTGCCTGAGAGTCACATGAGAAGGCAGAATGTATTCTGTAGGCAATAGAGGAAAGCCTTGGACGTAACCACAGATGTGAACTGCTCATTTCCAGGATTTCAAAGACTTCCCTATCTTGCACTTGCACCTTGCTCAGGACCTGGACAGACTGCACAACCCCTGGAGTTCTTCCCACTGCATTCAGTGAGTAATATTCCCCGGAACTCTGCTATTGACAGCACTTATGAAAACATCACTGGAGCTTGAAAGACCAGTGAAGCAATGAACGTCCCCCTGCACTGCTACCATTAAGGTTCTTGTCTTCACAAGCGTTCAGCAGAGTGATCTGAAGCACAGAACACTCAGACAATCGATTACAGAGGTCAGTCAGAACGTATTTGTTGTCTGCTTGCAAGATCTAACAGGTTTTGATCACTACCAGTCATGTTTCAGGATAATTCTTCAGTGTGACTCCCTTCAGCCTTTCCCGTAAATCACCTGTTGCAAAACAGCCCATGGTGAGGTTTGTCTTCTGTTGAACAAGCAATCAACATCAGTAAAGAGCTGCAGCAGCAGGGCCTGCCCTCTGACTCAAGGTGCTCAAGGCCATTTCCTGGTGTCCTCTCTAACAGGTGCTAAGAGCAGACACACCAAGCAAACTTCTGCCTCCTGCTTCAAGAAAGAGGACCCTACAATGTGTATAAAATGGCTGCACATACAGGCTTGAGCAGCAAAAAGCAAAGTGCTGCACCTTGAAGGAACTCTCAAGCTTTTCACGTTTTCATTTCATAGAATTACTGAGGTTGGAAAAGACCCACTAAGATCATCAAACCCAACCACTGCCCACCTCCACCCACTACACAGCATCCCTAACTGCCACATCTCCACGTTCCTCAAAATCCTCCAGGCTCCCCGTGCAGCTCGTTCCAATGCCTTCTCTCTGCTTTCACCCATTTCAGTTTTGCTATTTTGCAAAAGAGCAAACAGCAGACTGGCATTTCTGTAAATCACATCTCAATTCAGTGCTTTTGGGGGAGTGTACCAGATTTTTTGGAAGCTTTCTTCAGGAGCAACAGTCTCATACTTAGCTTTTCTCTACTGAAGCCAAGAAATTATGACATTTCAACACTCTGTTCCTTTTCCACTTCTATTTTTACCAGCTCTCTTTCAACCAAGGCTCCTACAGCCAAACACAATGGTAACAGAGCAGCAGTTACCAGTGCTTTATAAACATCATATATCCCAAAAACACTCTGCTTTTTAAAAAACCACTGCTGTAGATTGAGGACATCTTAAGCATTTTAAACCTAAACAGAAGTGATGGCAAGAAAATATTTCCATCACTTTCACTGTTAGAATTCCCTAATTAAAACAAAACAAAACAAACCAACACTGTTTAGTTCTCTCTCACAGAATCCTGTTGTATGCCAAAGATAAAAACAGCTAAAAGAGGCAACACTGCTTTTTGTACTATCTGCTAGACTGCATTCTTTGAAGCTAGGAGGCAGTATTAAGAACGTGCACACAGGAGCTGATGCCACTCCAACAGGAGTTATGAGCATCCCAGGAGATGGAGAACTCTTATAACAATGAGAACCTAAGACAGGCTATGAAAAATGAACCACCTTCCCTGCACAATGGTCTAAAACACAAGTAGTAAGCAGGAAAGAAAAACCTGCAAGTTTGTACACTAAGAATTTCATAGAATCATCACAGAATCACAGCATGGCCTGGGTTGCACAGGAGCACAGTGCTCATCCAGCTCGAAGCCCCTGCTGTGTGCAGGTCGCCAACCAGCAGCCCAGGCTGCCCAGAGCCACATCCAGCCTGGCCTTGAATGCCTGCAGGGATGGGGCATCCACAGCCTCCTTGGGCAACCTGTGCCAGTGCCTCACCACCCTCTGGATGGAAAACTTCCTCCTCATATCCAACCCAAACCTCCCCTGTCTCACTTTAAAACCATTCCCCTTGTCCTGTCACCACCCACCCTCACAAGCAGCCTTAAATTTGAGAATTACAGAGCACAAAACAACCACTCATCAGGAGGATGTGTGTGTTATTGTTCCCTACAAAGCAGACAGACACTGTGCAGCTTGTAAAAATCAGGCTAACGCTCACGTTCTCCCAGGGCTGGGCCTTATAGCTTCACTCTGATTTCATACTGATGTGCCCTAATTGCCAGCTTTAAGAAACAATTAGCCTGACCTCCAATACAATAACAACACAGATCACTAAAGTGTGTTGTTTCAGTATGAAAGAACAACATTTTAAGAAGCTCAGAGACTTACCATACACAACAGACCTTTATGGAAAGGGAAGTTGCACTACTTTGAAAGGGAGATGTAAATTACAGAGCTCTCAGTGCTCACAGACCCGTGCTGCTCTCACTGCCTGCAGTTTGTACTTTCAAACCTCTCCTCACTTCATAAAGCTTGTGCTTCTGTATGAAAACTGTGGTAATGCAGGTTTGCTGCTCTTGATACACACAGTCCTGTGGTACTGACAGCTACAGAGGGTTTGTTTTTCCTTAAACTTTTTCCTAATCTGACTATCAACAGAAACATGTTCAGATTTAAAATTTCAGTCACTTGGAATTGAAATTGGCTATAAATCTGTGGTGATCCATATACTGTGGAAGGTTTGTGGGCCAAATTAAATGACCGGTATTTTGCTTATCTAATTCAGCATACGCAAAGTCATAGCACAGATGATCAAAAAAGAAGAAAAAAACATAGTAGGTACCAACTGTTCTTTTTCTAGGCTTCAGTTTCTTTCCTTTGAAAAGACTGTACACTGGATTATAGATGTTCTAGGTTGCAAAGTTTCCTACTCTTCCTTCATTCAAGCAAACTTCTCTGAAAGGAGGGGATTTGAGTGTTTGTGAGGGTGGGTGGTGATGGGACAAGGGGGAATGGTTTTAAAGTGAGACAGGGGAGGTTTGGGTTGGATATGAGGAGGAAGTTTTTCAGCCAGAGGGTGATGATGCACTGGCACAGGTTGCCCAAGGAGGCTGTGGATGCCCCATCCCTGCAGGCATTCAAGGCCAGGCTGGATGTGGCTCTGGGCAGCCTGGGCTGCTGGTTGGCGACCTGCACACAGCAGGGGGTTGGAGCTGGATGAGCACTGTGCTCCTTTGCAACCCAGGCCATTCTAGGATTCTATGATGACTCTATGAAACGCAGAGTACAGATTGCTTAGACTTGTACTTATACTATACTTGTACTATAATGCTAGACAGCTTTTTACAGTGAGAACTTAAAAAAAAAAGTGTAATTTCTGATACTATTAACAAAATGCAAGCTACAGGATATTTTATTTCATCCATTTAAGTATATCCCATGTAGTTAATAATTCACTTAAATTTATTTGCATTACAAAGCTCCCTAATGCAAGAGACACCTTTTTTAAACACAGTCTTCAGCTACTTAAAGCTCCATGTATTTTCTGAGATACTGCACTCTACAGCAAAGACAGCTTCTTCTTATTCAAGAATGATTACCATGGATGTCAGATGTTAAATTCCTGCTGACTGCTGACCTCTGATTTCATAACCGACTGTAGAAACATTTGCTTGTAAGCAAAACAGATACACGCTCAGTTACCTTTTGGCTTTTAGCTTTTATACCCAAGGGAAGTATCTGCTGATGCAAACCACCTTGCTAGAGCACAGCAGAATAAAACAAGTGGAAGTCATCTGTGGGGAAATCAAGCAAGGCTCTTCTAATGGAAGTAATGCCTCAATGCACAGAAATGCTCATACAGGCCAGATGCCAACGTAAACAATTTGTATAGCAAGAGCCCCAAAGTACATCCGACAGGAACAACTTTCCAGCAACTGAACAGGAATTCCTGAAAGCCTGTGTAGTTCACTAATGCCATTTCTTAGATGATAGAAAATAAGAACACAGCAGTGCTCATCTTCATTCCTTCTCATCACAGACAAAGTGTGGTACAACATGAAAAACAGCAGCGTTTGCAGCATCTCTTCTGTTTAGTATTCAGGGCAAGTGGTTGAAAATTAAGAACAGGTCACTCTGACTGCTGAAGGGAAGTGCTCCTCCCAGCACCAATAAGATCAACTGAGATACAGCTGCAGTGTTCTCAGCATCTGGTCACACTTATCTGAATTATGCTTAGGTTCGTACTGAAGGGATACAAAACACAGAACTCAAGTAAAGAGAAGATTAAAAGATTTATGTATTGCATTGTTAACAATGTTTGAACTCACGCTCAGTCAAGGTTTGCATAATGAGATACACAGTTACTTCAAATGTTCTTACTGGGGCAACAGGTGCTTCTGAGGATTTTTTCACATGAATTTGCTTTTCAAACACACTCTGATGTCATACTGATGTTTGTCATATTTTTCAGTGTTAAGCTGCAGCAAGTAAAATCTAACTGCCTATTTCAAAGCTCAGATTCTCCACGCTAAGAAAAGGTTTCAGCAGGAAGAAAGTGTGTGGCTTCACTTACCTGCAGTAACTCAAAGTAGTGCAAACAATGATAGACTGGGATAAGCATGAGCCGTGGGAGGACGTATCGTACAGCTTCTTTAAAGCCTTCAGCAGTAGACTGAAAAGGAAAAATAAACAGGATTACTTACAATGAAACACTCAAAGCAGGGCAGGACAAAGCCCTGTGCACTCCAGTGGAACTGTGAAGTCAGCCCTGCTTTAAGCAAGGTGGTTAGGTTGGATGCATTCAGCATCCCTTCTGATGTACATCACTCTGTGCTTACCAGGGAGGAAGACAGTAAAATTCCCAAGAACATCTGTCTAACAAATCAAGCAATAGAACCTGTCAATGCTCCTCCAACCTCTGTAATCACTTTCTTTTTTTTCCTATCAGCAGCTTAGGGTGGATTTTGATGCATACTTACCAGCAAGCTCTGAGAACACCTCCAACCCCTACAAGTGCTATGGCTGCATGAGAGCAGCTGAATGGATTGCATTTCTGCCAGAAGCAGCAAATTAGATGTAAGAGCTAGAGGACCAAGTCATCCACAACTCATTTTTATAAGCACCTTTTGATATAAAAGACCTTCATATTGCAATCCTAAGCACCTTTACATTTCACTGTCTGCAGCACTCAATAGCAACAGCCCAAGGTGGCAAGACCTAAAAATAATGCACTGTGGTTAAGCTGCACACATTTTGGACGTATCTCAGAATGCAGGACAGTGTTCATATCCATTTCCAATACAACATGTTCTGTCTGGGCCACAGTTAGCTCCAGAAAACACTGGAGTGTAAGAGAGCAGTCAGGACTCCTGTATTTGTCATCAACTTCTCTCTAATTACACCTCCTTCAAATTACACATTCTGTGCTTCAGTTTACAGCCAATTTACCACAGAGATATGGAGGTATCATTACATTTTGAGGAAATCAATATTAGTATCTCCCCTTCCTCAGTGAGGCATCACAAGTTTAGGAGTTAGAAAACGCATCAGAAACCTTTTCCCATTCCCAGCAGTAATTCAGCGTTTAAGATGAGGAGATATCCTCTAAAGGACAGGAAATCCCTGCCACCATCCACACCAAGATAATGACCAAACAGAATCCAAATTTCTTGATCTCCATTTTGGAAATGACCCCTCCCCTCTGTTTAAGACTTAAGGCCACAACTCTGCAATTGCCAGAGACAGCTGCTACGTGTCCCAGGCCCAGAGCCTGGATCTGTTTTCACACCAGGGTTGGGACAAGTGCAGAGGAACATCCTCAGGAAAGCCCACACCTCCTATGCTGAGGAGAAAGAGGAGTCCAGATTCATCATCTAATGACTCTACTTCCAATTTGATCTCAAATAGGGTTTTCAGCTTTCTATTTGCAAACGAGATGATCCATCTCACCAAACATGCAGAGATGGAATGAAAACACTCCCCATGAAGGAGAGGAAACCCGTCTTACAGAGATGTAGGTCCCAAACTACAAGCTAACTGTAATGGTTCTAGCTTGGAACACAGCTTCTCTGAGTGTGTTACTTAACACAAGCTCAGCTCTCCTCTCAACAGCAGCCTTTAGTAGAAACATGATGCTGGCAGAGGTTGATAAAAATCACAGATGATCTTGCTGAATAAACAGGTCAAGAAAAACTGTCAGTTCTAGTGCTAAACACGAGGACCTGGGGTATGAAAGGAAGCAAAAGAAAGTAACGCTCCTTCGTGCCCGTGCTTGGTGTTAGAAAGCAAAACAGAAACAGAAATGGCAGGTATGAGAGGAAACCACCTACTGCAAACCTTCCAAACATGAGAACCAAACCAATACAGTATCTCTCATTTGCACTCACCTGGAAGTGAAGAGCAACAGCAGGTTTTGCCATTAAGTTATTAAAATGCTCATGAAATTGTGGAGAGAGAATATCCTGGGACAAGGTTTCATATGGATCAAAGGCTTGTTCCTAAACAAAGGCAGAGAATTATATACATACAAGAAGAATGCATGATATTCCCACACCCGATGGTAACATTCATCCTGTTAATAAGCTAATACCCAAGTAGAATTTTTCCAAAGATCCATTTTGCAATAAGAACATATGCATTAATTCACAAATCGTTTCTACTTCTTAACTGAGGAATGCTGAGACAAAACTGTGTGCAATCTTACCATACTTATCACTAACACAAACTGTTCTGCTGAAACAGTGGGAAGCAAGCGAAGTTGTGGCTCTCACCACTCACGTTTCACAGTGAATGGTTTATCCAACTCCTCTCTGCCAGCAGGAAAAACAACTGGGAAAGAAGTGTAGCAAAGTAACGCTTCAGGTGAACTTTGGAAACTGTCACAAGGAGGCATTGTTGTACCACCATCATTTCAGAGTGCTGTGCTTAAAGACTGCACTAATTGCACCTTTCTCCAGCCATGCAGTACAGCTGGGAAAGCATCTCAGTCTGGGACAAAGTAACTCTGCTTAAAGAGGTTAAAAAGAGTCTTCAGGGGCCGAGCTGTTTAACCAGGAGAAAAGAAGTACTTGGCTCCTGTGAAACTGTGGTGAGAAGTATGGAAAAGTAAGAGCAGGCTGAGCACTATGCCCAAAAGATTACAAGAAAACAAGGGAACTTCGTCCAGTTCAAGTACAGAGCCACCAATTCCAAGACAAGAAAGTATGGATCAAGTTGAAACCACAGCATCTGGGTTGGAGATCTGCTGCAAGAACCTGTGCAGGACAGCATCAAGAGTTTCAGGCACCGAAATCGTGACCCTGGATGGGTTATCTGGCTGTGATTCTGTAGTATCAACTACAGCAGGATGGGATAAAACCTGACTTTACATGAAGCTCTGCAGGAATAATTTATCACTGCTCATCCATCACCTGCTCCAAAGCCTGTCAAGCTGTTCCTGAGTCTGCAGATTCATGGGGCTGAATCACTCACGAATCACAGTTACCCTGCCCTGATGGCACAGCGCCCAAAATAAGCACATCTCTCTTTCCACTTTAATGCAGAACTGCTCTTCAGAATGAATGCTGTAGAATTTGAGGTAAGGAGCACCACAAAGGCTCGTCTGAACATCATATGAAGTCTCAAGCAATGCATGCTCAAGAGGGCTCAGGAATCTCCTACCTTACTCATGGGGCAGCTGTAACTAAATGAGAGCCAAGGAATCCACTCTCTTTTTACATGCAAATTCTTATCATCCCACTTCACAGTTCTAACCATCACTGTCCATTTGCAGCAGATTTTATCTTGTGGTGGGGAAGAAAATAGATTTGGCAGTTCAGCAGCAGCTGATGTGAAATGAGGAGGCACCAAGAGGCTGATTTTCTTGAGCTGAACCTGAATGCACTTTCACAGCCTGTTTTGTGGTACATACCACTACCTAGAAGCATACAAAGTGGGTCTCCTATTTGCCAGCACCCAAATGAAAGATGGGGAAGGTAACACTGCACACTGTGGTTTCTCTTTGCCATACCAGCCAAGACAGAAAGCCTATCTATATTACCTTAATACAGCATATAGTTCTGGATTGCTGTTGGTACTGCTCAGCCCCTTTTCTGTAGTGCAGAAGTTTCCAACTTTTTTTTTACACTGTAGATACCTAAAATATCTCTTAAAGTGCAAATACCAGGATAATGAGCTTACAATCTACTGATAACAAATTTGCTTTGTTAGCTGCCTTCTGAAGGACACTTAAAAAGAGGCACAAAGACACTCTGCCCTTAGTCAAGACATTCTGTCACAAGCTGAATATCACTAAAGAGATTATTTAAGGCAATAACAAAGAACTGTGGCACCCAGGATTGTGAAAGTTAAGGTCAAGTTAAAAAACAACAAAACAATTTTACCATCATACCAGCAACTATCCATTTTCACTTGCATTAGGCACCATGCTTTTGCATTTCTTTCACATCAGGGAAAAATTCTCCCCATACCTCCTTGTCTCAGAAACACCAAAATATTTATGTTGAAACCTTCCAGGGGACTGATGCAGAAAAACAAAGCAGGAAAATTCCAGCTTGCAAGGGCTGTTTGTTTTCAATTATCCTTTCAGATAAGTTGAAGAACCTTTACAATGGAAACACTAAGCAAACGAGCCTGGCAATGAGGCAGAGCAAGTAAACACACTGCACTTTCTAATCTCTTAACCAGTCCCTTTGACACATGTCCACAGAAAGATGATCGTTACATGTGAGATCATCAAACAGTACAGTTAAGCAGATCTTCTGTATTAACTGCACTATTAAATTCAAACTTATCAACTGCATAAGGAGTTCGACAAACAACATCCTTCACTGCCTAGTAAAGCTTCTCAGTTAATAAAAAACAAGCCAGATTTTTACTTACAAAGATGTTCCCCATAAAGCACAGGCTGCCTAAGAGCAGCTTTTGCAATAAGCAGATATGTATGTTCCCCACGATTGTGCTGTATTTGTCCAAATGTTAAGTTCTTTTTTCAGTTTCAATAGAATAGCTACTTCATTTTGTTGCTCAAATGCTTATCACTACCAGCAAACGGACTTTAACATCTCAAGAACTCAGACAGACCTATTCTATTGGGCTTCTGAAGTGACATCACACGAGCAGCTAACTAAAACCAGTGAAATTCATCTCTGTGAACATTGCTAAGTGAACAGCACACGGGCTGAAGGACACGAGTTCTTCACAATCCCAATAAAGTAATTATGTTCCAAAAGGTACCGGTGTGTTCATGCATTCCTCCAATTCCAAAAATCAGACATACCTGATTTACTTAATAAGACATACTCCATACTTAATAAGACATACTCCATACTTAATAAGACATAACTCAAGTGAAATAGAGAAGGTTCCAGTTTACTCAAACACAGTATTTTTAATACAAACCATGAGCTTCACATTCGCTGTGTGGTTCATCTTTCTCTCTTTCAGGTCAGAACACCTCATCCCAAAATCTCTGTGTGAGCAGTTCAAGTCACTCATCTCACAGAGCTGTGTTCAGATGCTACAATGCCTGGGCAGCACTGGGGCTGACACCAAGGCCTACAGAAATCAATGCATCACCACCTTCTAGTAAGCAATCCCAGACAATGGCTTTTCAAATCCACATCCCTGCAGAACTGGAACAATTAATTCCCACTCCACAGTAAGATTTCATTTCTGTGCTTACCTGCTTGATACAGTGTCTATGACAGGTAGAAAACACATTTAGTTTACCTATCGAAGAACAGCTAGGGAAGGCCTCTATTCTGAACTTATTAAAAGAGCCACTACTCATGCACTTATAGGAGAGGTTTGAGTCGTGACCAAATGTTTACTTGGAAAACAAAACTATGGGATTAAAAAAAAAACAAACCCTAACAAAGCCCAAACGAAAACATTAAAAGCAAAACAAAACAAAATCTGTACCTCAGCAAGATCCTCAAAGCAGCTGCCAGCCAGAGGATGAGGACTGCTCTCATCAGTCATTTCAACAGTATCCTCAATCAATCCCAAAAGCTTCACTGTCAACTCATGAATATCTGAAATGTTGCTGAACACCACATCAATGTCCTGCAAACACAAAATGTGTCTTAGTAGCATTTAGAATCACTTACCTTGCTTCTGTAAATACCAGAGTCTTTCTAAGAAGTCTGAAACAGGAGGGAAGTGGAGAGGAGAATGAAAGAAAGTTAAATTTCATGGCCTCCCCAGCCTGCAAACTTGTCTGGGCACATCCAGCTTTGCACAGTTCTCACCTCAGCAAAAGAAAGCACATCATCCTTCCCAGGAAGAGCAGCAGCAGTCCTGGTACAGCCTGTTCAGTGCTTTGGACACAAATGTCCTTCTCAGCCACAGTTTGCAGCTGATGTTTTCCCTTCTGTTGGTTCTTCTCTCGGAACACAACAGGAAGGAGGCAATTTCAAGTTGCTCCAAGGTCAGAGCCTCAAAACCACAGGTAAAACTAAAGCCGTTACTTGGCTACATCAGCAAAATACTACCTGGGTACAGAGGAGCTGCCTGTTTCCTTTTCCCAATCCTACTTTTAGATTCAAATTCACACTCCACAAACACACACACCTATACAACAACTTGCATTTCTGCTTGTGACCCCTCCGAAACACACTTCCCAAAACTCTGCTTTTATCCTAACCGTGCAGCTAAATCTGACCTCCTGCCAGCTCTACACCATGGCAAGCTCTTCAGGGAAACAAGCAATCCAAGTCTTTCCATGCCCCAATAACACAAGACTGCTCCTCAGCTCCAAATCATCACTCCTTTCTCCTGGGTTTTCCGTTTGAATTCTGTCCCCATATCTGCATAACACCCCAATGTCCTACCAGCTACTGAGTGACCTCCACATTGAGCAGCAATGGAAATGACTGCTGCTGCCAATTCTTACGACCTTCTGGAACCATCTTGGAAACCCAGATCAGGCTTTGCTGCCCTGGCCCCCTTCTCTTCCCCCCCATGAAAGGATTCAGCCATCTCTCATTACTATTACTTCAGTTACATGAGCTGTGCTTTTCCCTTAGGACTAGCATCCTGAAAAAACAATTGGCCACAAATATCATTTCAAATATCAAGTTCAACCATCTATCAAACAGCGATTTCCTTTACAGTCAGTCATGTGCTAGCGAGCCTGAAGCCAAGGGCAGTTTTACTTGCAGTTTGCACAGAAAGGATGCCCTGGAGTAGACTTCAAACGTTGGTTCAGGGATCCATCTGCATTCCCTGCACACTTGGTAGACAACTTCTGTGTTAAGCAGAAGTGTAACTATTACCTATAGGACCAGGAGGCACCAGCCATCTCTGACATCTGACCAGGAATCTCATCCATTAAACTTCACTCTGAGAACAGCACTCTGCATTCCACTGGTGGCAATTTCCTCCTCTTATTGCACATACAGTCAACAGTTGTTACACACTGACATACAATAAACCATATTCAATTTTACTTCCAATGTGGTCCATGTAAAATCGGCATGTTACAGCTACTAATGGTGAAACTAGCATTACATATCCATAACCTACTAAAGGACTTACATTAGGTGTGAACAACTTTCTGTTAGAGAGGAAAGCTTCCCGAAATACTTTTATGATCAGATTCAGCTCCCGGAGATATTGCCTTTCTTCTGCAATTTCATTTCTCACTAGGTCATAATAATTGAGCTCCCCAGAAGAAGAAGGTTCGTCTTCACAGAGAGAAACCAAGCCAATGTCATCCTGATCAAACATATCCATCAGAACCTAGCAAAGAAACGTTAAAGAATTACATGCAAGCCTGATTCTAACCCTTGGCTCAAGCTCAGCTATTTCAGTGTGTTCAGAGAAATCCTTTGAGTTTTTAATACAATACTTTCTGTGATCACTTTCACAAGGGAGTAATATTTAAACTTTGGCAGCAAAAGGCTGGAACAGTTGCCAAAGCCATTTTTCTCTTTATAAGTTAGTACAACCTAGAAAACAAGTTACAATTCATACAGAACCAACTCTGAAACCAAGGCATACTGCCTAGGTTTGGACAAAACCCTCCCATGAAAACTGAAGATCTGTTCAGTATTATAAAGAAGGAAGCAGTTGTCATGAAAAACAACATCATGAATACAGTAGCAGCTGAGAAACAGAAGACAACTGTTTCTGTCCTTATATTTATTTGTTAAGAAGTGTTACTGATCCCAAACAGGCTCAAGTTAAGGTGAAGTCTCTACTGGGACAGTTCTGGCACAAATAAAGAGCAATGCTTCTGCATTTAAGTGAGACTCCCCTCCTACACCACTTCAGAGATACCCTCTAAAAAATCCTGCCTGTCCAGAGGACTGTTTCAGTGCCCCTCCTTACCTTATCAGCACACATGGATACTTTAATGTCCTGCTGGGAGATCTCAAAGTGTCGTATATTGAAAACGTAGTTTCCAGCCAGCTTTAAAATATCAGCTGAGATGTATTCTAAGACAGCCACAATATACAGAGAGACATGGTAATCTACTTTATAACCTAGGACCTCCTACAAATTGAAAAGAAGAGGAAAAATGCTATTTACTCTAAAAGTTCACTTGGAATGACATTAACACATTTTGTTTTCTACCAACATTGATCCTGTCTGCGTTGATAATTTACAGCAATATGATAGCAGGGGCAAAGGATAGCAAAAGGAAATTTGACCGACAGCCTCAAAGTAAATGTTTGCAAATGCTTCCTTGTGCTATTTGCTGTATGCTGACTGGAGGAACTTCAATACTGGATGTAACTTCTATTAAAAAACCAAACAGGCTCTGTACCTGCATCCACACATGTCTGACACAGATTTCACAAAAGGAAACCAGCGCTGTTGAGAGGTCTTACAAAATGCTGTTGTCTTTCCTAACTTCTCTTCCATCTCATTAACTGTCACAAACTGAGACACTGTGTGTCAGAGCACAGGAACCGTGCCTGAAAATTGCTTTGGTTTCTGCTTATGCCCAAATCACGTTTTCTGAATGCAGCTGGAAACTCTGGCACACGCATCACTGGAGAGAAACATCTTTTAGGCTACAAACCAGAAACAAAAACAGAGAAAGAAATACAAAAAGTGCAATGTTTGAATCAGCATCAATCTACTGATTCAGCACAGACCTGAAAGTGTTTCAACGCTGGCTTAAAAAACAAAATGTATCAGAGTGCTGTTTCATCATTAAAAAAAAAAGATCCCCATGTGCACAATATGAATAGATACCATGTGGCACGAAATCTTGACTGCAAGTAAGAAGCTCTACATCTGTTATAACTGACATCTGAAAACAGAGATGGTCACACTGCTCACAGCAACAATAATGTCTGTATCTGCTCTTCTGTAACATCACTGCAGATGTACAGGTTTCAAAACAAAGGTATCAGTGATATTTAACACTAACTGAAAGGGTGGTGATACACAGTCTACAGTACACAGGGAACAGGATCTACTTGTTCTCTCCTCTTTTGGTTTCTGCAGCATTTTGAAACAAATGAAGCCATCAAAACAGTGCTACTGAAGTGGGTAAGGTAGTTGAGTTAGTTTTTAACATAAATAAAACCCAAACAAATTATTATGTTTCAAAGTAGATCAACCCATTAGATGAATTCAGGAATCTATATGCACTCCACACTACCATGTATTTGACCTGGTCTGTGATGACTACTTACTCTTCCTGCCAATATGAGAAACTTACCTAATTCTACACAAATTAAATAATTTTAGAGGTTATGCTGGAGGGCAACAGCTGGGGTGCATGGTGTGCAGAAGCAGCAGTCATCAACTGTTGCATTAAGTACCTTTAATAAGGGGTGTATTTTGTCCACAGGCAGCAGGAGTGGGTTTCTTCTTTTCCGTTTCTCTATGGCAGACTGTGCATCAGCAATGGCCCATTTGTCTATGGGATGGGGAAATGTCTTCTGAACACGCTCCTGTCCAAACAGACACACTCAGATGAACTACATTAATCAAGGAGAAGTTTAAAAAACAAAACAACAAATTACTTCCCCTGCAGTGTGGTTAATTATCCTCCTCCGCAGTGTCTGCAATACTTCTTACTATTATCTCCTTCAGTAACCCCAACCAACCTTCCTGCCCCAAGCACAAGGAACTTCCCATCTCCTACAACAGCGCCTGCTCTATGATCTTTAGACCACATGAACTGTAAGAAACTGCAGTTGAGATCAAAATATAAACATCAGGAAGCACTCAACAGCTCACAGCCTAAATGAAGAAAACAAGTTGTTATTGTTCCTATTTCATAAAAGGATGCAGTTTATACTATATCAGGTGAAGTTCGGGGCAGAAATGAAAAGCAAGCACAGATCTTCCAGCTGTGCCCCAGCCATCCCTGGAGGTGTTCAAGGCCAGGTTGGATGGGGCCCTGGGCAGCCTGGGCTGCTATGAAATGTGGAGGTTGGTGGCCCTGCATGGCACAGGGGGAGTTGGAGCCTCGTGATCCTTGAGCTCCCTTCCAACCCTGGCCATTCTGTGATTCTGTGAGTAGAGCTGCAGTTGATGAAAGTTTCCCATAGCACTTCGTGCTCCACTGGCCTGCGCAGGAGCATCTTTCCCTGTTGTACTTTGCAATTTCAGGCCATTTTATATGTTTTTAAGTTTCATAAGTTTTATATGGATTCACACTTCCCCACCTGCATTTGAACAGCAGGATGACCCCTCCTTAAGAGAGCTGACTGCTTTGGGCTGCAGTTCCACGCGTTAGCAATCCCATGCTAACACATGTAAAACCCTTGTCCTGCTCTCCACAAGCTCTCCAGGCTTCCTGCTGCAGCAGCAGCCCCTATGAGCTGGGAGCAGACTGCTGGAAGAATTAGTCTAATCCAAGCTCTGATGGCTGATTCTTAAGTGATTCTGGAAAAACAGATTTTCTCTAAACTAAATAGCCAGCATATAACAAGACAAGCAAGTTGTTTTCCAGGATGCTGCAACTGCATTCTGGTTGCAGCAGATTATCTGATTTTAACCCCAAAAGCTGTTGCACAGCTCACTACTGTACTGCAGCACATACTCTGAAATGGAAGAGGAAGCCTGAGGCCTTTCTAGAGGCAGCTTTCTAGCATCTGCCCATGGCCATCCAACAGGCAGCCCTCCGTGCCAGCTGCCTGTGCCAGATGAATGCACTGCAATCTTTCCTGGGCAGCAGCCCGACACCGCAGGCTGCTCTCACTGAGATGAGCTCCCCTTGAAAAGCTACCAGAAAGCACATGTAAACAGGTACAATGTGGAATTTGGATGTCCTTCGACAAGGCACGTATTGCCTGCACCAGGATTTTGCCAGTGTTTTGTTGGAGATCATTTGCAGGGCTTTTACTATTTATAAAATGTTTATAACTTGGGATTTCTGATCTCCATCTTGCAAATGCTTAGGTTTAGTATTGTGCACAAATAGTTCCCTTAACCCCAGGCTGTTATGTAAATAGCTGCATGATAAACTTTAGAGATTGTAACTCTCACATCATCTCCTAACAGTTTAAAACAGCAGGAGCTGAGCCAGGAGCCTTCACCTGCAGCTCTCAGATGCCTGCTGGTCAGCAACTTCACCACCAAACCAAAACACAACACTCAATTCTACTTTCCCTGCTCTGAAAGGGTCTGGATTTTCTGACCTACTGAACAATAAGATCCTGGGGAATATCTTACCACTATTTAGACAGAGCTGTGTTTCTATACTAAAGAACTGTTACAGTGCCAAGTGTAACATTGTCTTATTACTCGCAGCTTTAAAACGCCAGGTATGTTTGAAACACAACACAAAGGATTTAGCATCTGCTGTGACACCTATAACCACAGCTCAGAGCTGCCAGTTCCCTCACAGGCCTGTGAGCACTCCTGCACACAGCAATTTGTGGAGCACACAAGTACCTAACCAAAAATGAACTCAGATGCACACAGAGTACTCAATCATCCCTTAATTCAGGAGCAGAAAACGATGGAGTTGGTGCATAAAGTAATCAGTGCCCTCTCAAGTTGTCCTGTGTACTGAAGGATACGATCTCTGACAGCTGGAGAAAGAGCACAGAACTTCTCAGCTTCACATCTAACCCACACTCAAAGCAGTAACAATCCTGAGAGCTATTAGGGGACTGTTAAGTTTTATTTAGTCATACTATAATCTTTATGCATCAGTATTATATTAATCATAAACCAAACTTAATTATTAATGAAGGGAGTCAATGTTGAATAAAGGGTGATTATTGCATCTGGTAAGGATCTAGAACTCCTCAGGCACTAATTTTGCAAATGTTTATTTCCATGAGGCACGTATAGCACAGTGCTTGAGGACTTCATTTCGTTTGAGGCTGAAAATCCTTGCCACGCAGACTGATGCAAAATTAATACTCTGCAAAGCTATAATGGATCACAGCTACATGAGAGCACTTTCTCCCTCTGTGCTGTACGCTCCATGAAAGCTCTCATTTTTAACTGATGACACAAAAGCAGACAGCTGCAATATTACACGAGCCTCAGCGAGTTCCAGGAACACACAGCTCCATCCCCTCAGCTCACAATCCAGGCCTAACCTTTCATTACAACATTTCTTTTTTCTGCATAATGTCAAAGAGTGGGAAAAAAAATCATTACAACATCCTTTCACTCTTAGGTTCAAACGTATTCAAGCAGCAGAAAATCCTCCAAAGTACTCTGCATTTTTAAAAACAATGCTGAAGGCAAGAATTCCCACCATTTCTATTCTGATCTATGGTATAAGAAAGTTAATTTCCAGTTGAACTTGCTTAATGAGACTTGAATACTGTTTAATAGTTTATAAAAACAGCCCTACTAAGCTCTGCTCTTCAGATTCACCTTGCTTCAACTTCAAGCTGCACTGCTCAGAACACCTTTGTTCCTCCCAGTGATGCTGGGAGCAAGCATTCGTTTTCCAGTAGCTCATCTTACCTCTACATCTTGGACTGTGCGTGGCTGGGCGATGCATAGCTTGTTCAGCAGCTGAAGTATCAACTCCTCAATGTAGTAGAGGGAATCTTCCTTTGCTGACAGGTTGGGGTGAACCTGTTGCTGAACCTGTCCCAAAGAATTTGTAAAAATTAGTCTTTTTTTGGCACTTCTTTTCAACTGAAAACTGTTTACCCTTTATGGTCACAAGGAAATTTCAAGCCAAGGCAGATTTCTGCTGAAGATGCATAGAAAGCCATCGTTGTAATTCCACAGCTATTTGCTCACAGAATGAGCAGCATGCAATTATTCCTGACCCTGCTAATGATACTGGGTGACCTGTGAACAGAGGAGCCCCAGCGTACCACAGGAAAACCAGGAAAGGAGAACTGAACAGCCTGGCAGGGCACTGAATTAAGGTGCTCTTAAACTCGTGGCAATGAAAAGCCATGGCCACAACATGGACAAGGGCTGGAACAATTCTTGGAGGTGCCTGAAAGCCAGAAAACTAATCAGAGCATCAAACTCCATCTGAGGCACGAGAATGGAAGGTACCAAAAGCACAGTGCAGTGCAGGAGGCCTACAGCAAAGCATGTATTGGAATACAAGCCTCCCAACTGGCAAGCACGGTGTGACATAAGCAGAGGACCACTTCCCTTTAATGCCAGACAGGATAATGCAGTTCTCTCATTCCGTGGAGGTGAATTGCTGCTTCCATTTCCAAGGCTAAGCTGCAGCACACAGCCTGCAGCAGGCGGCTGCAGCACCCACTCACACAAGCTGGAGGGCTGCAGCAACTCGCCTGGCCCCAAATTGTTCTCCCACTGGAAATCACTCCAACCCAACAACCACCTTGGTCTACAACACCCTCCAGAGTGAATTCTATACACTGTTTTCCCTGGCAGCCTCAGTCAGGAAAGCTGGATCTCAAACTATAGCCAATAGACTCATAAATAACAGTCCAGGGGAATTCCCTACCTTCCCCCAGACAAATGATATTTTAATTGCCTCAAAACAGTAATCTTACATCCCCACATTGACATTCTGCACGTGGTTTCAAGAACAAGACAAACAAACCATTCAGTTGCTGCAAATGTGGGAGCAGGGCTGGTTATATTGGAGTGGGTAACCAAGGCACCAGGCAGGGTGCAGAGAGCACAGCCAAACGTGTGAGCCCTTATGCTGTACCCCAGGATAGATGCTCCCACTTAACTGTGAGGGTTGGAGTCTGCACTGCCCTGCTCTGCAGCTGAAGTGCCTGCATGATTGGGTACTATTGAAGAAAAAAAAAAAAAAAACAGCCACCAGAAAGCCAAAATCACTCCATGAAAACACTTATTTAAGCCCGCAGGTTTTCAATAATACAGGAACTTTTCACGTTCTTCCTGAACAGGAGAGCTGAATTCACAAACAATGGAACACCAGGAAGTGCCAAGTTAAGGTCCTGCCTCGCTTCTCTCCGAAGAGCACTGCTCCAGCATTAGTAACCAGCTAGGAAACGAGCTGCAACCATGCTTCCCAGAGAAGGAGCCCTCTGAGATGCTCCTCACAAACACCAAGAGCAAGAGGTACAAGGGGTGAGAAGATGCAAAAAGCCTGTTTGCTGTTTCAGATCACGTGTTGTAATAACACAAGTCAGTGCCACCAAGAAGACGAACTTCAGTTCACGTCTGAACAGCTCGTGCTGCATTTCCCTCGGCTTTATGAGGAGTGCAGGAGTACCTAAAAATCACGAGGACAAGCAGAGAGCACTCAGCCCTCCTCCAGCTCCAGAGAGATCTGTTTCACACAGTGAACACAAGCCTAAGTACTGCAGTCCCGTGTGCTTTCCTGGCTGGCTCTCTGTCTCTGGTTGAGGCTGCACTCCCCCAGGCCTTGCACTTGAAATGACCCCACCTGCAGCACCACAAGAGATCTTCACTGCAGCACTCCCTGCTGTAAGAGCAGTTGTGCCCTAAGCATCCTAGCAGAGAAAATGATTTCATAGTGAGACCCTGACAAAACAGAGCCAGTTATGCACTTGCTGCACAAACCAGGTGCTGCGTATCCAGGACAGTACACTTACTCCATATATTCTATTCTACAGAGAATTCACCTGAACTCTGACTGGAAGATGTGAAAAAACAGGGAGAGGATGTCTGGTAAAACACTGAGTGTAGGAACAAAGCAGGAGGAATGACTGAGGGTGCATACAGTGATCTCAGGCTCTGAGCACAACGCCGTTAGCTAGCATGGAACAACACACCACAGCTAACACGGGAATCCATTCTGATCTGACTTGCTGTGCCCTTAAGTAATTTGGCCCTTAAAAGAAGCAGCTACATGTTGCACCAAACAGTTCTTGAGAACCACTGTGCAAGCACCAATCTGACCCACAGGAGCTACGGTACAAAGTCTGAGCCTCTACGACATCTGGACTGGGAGAAATTGTTAAGTATAAAATCAAGGGCCCAACTGTTGTACCTGCAAATGCTACAAGCTGAGAGAAAAACAGTCAGGACTGCAAGAGGCTTCCTTCTAATCTGCACCACTGGGACAATCCAGAGGTTTGGCTGTACTGACTCAATGGATCTTTACGTAATACACATATTTTGGTAGTAAAAACACGTTCAGAAGGCTCCAGTTGTTCCACAGTAAGAACACGTGCAAAACAAGATACTGCTCAGAAAATAAACAGAGCCCGAAAAACAACCAAACCCAGGACGTGCCTATCGAGTCACTGCACAGCAGATACCACCAGAGACATAGTTAGTTATTTCTGCAAGACCACACGACAAAATCCCACCTCCCTCATTACATTCAATACGACAACACTTTCAGGAAGCAGAACTCAGTGCTCAAAGAATCACAGAATGGCCCGGGTTGGAAGGGACCTCAAGGATCACGAAGCTCCAACCCCCCTGTGCCATGCAGGGCCACCAACCTCCACATTTCACAGCAGCCCAGGCTGCCCAGGGCCCCATCCAACCTGGCCTTCAACACCTCCAGGGATGGACGGGGCATCACAGCCTCTCTGGCAGCTGTTCCAGCACCTCACCACTCTCACAGCACACAACTTCCCCCTGACATCCAACCTCCATCTGCCCTCCCTCCACTCCAAACCATTTCCCCTTGTCCTGCTGCCATCTCCCCTTTCCAAGAGCTGACTCCCTCCTGTCTGCAGGCTCCCTTTAGGCACTGCAGGCTGCACTGAGGTCACCCTGCAGCCTTCTTTTCTCCATGCTGAACAAGCCCAGCTCCCTCAGCCTGTCTTTGTAGTGGAGGTGCTGCAGCCCCCTGCTCATCTTTGTGGCTCCTCTGGACCCTCTCCAACAGCCCCCGCCTTTCCTGTACTGGGGGCTCCAGACCTGCACACAGCACTGCAGATGGAGCCTCACAAGAGCAGAGCAGAGGAGGACAATCACCTCCTGTCCCTGCTGGCCACCCTTCTTCTGATGGAGCCCAGGACACCATTTCCTCTCGAGCTGCAAGGACATACTGCTTGCTCATGTTAAGCTTCTCATCCATCAGGACCCCCGGGTCCTTCTATGCAGGGATACAAAGACTGCTCCTTCCAGTCTGTATGGATGCCTGGGATTCCTCCGGCCCAAGTGCCAAACCTTGCCCTTTGCTGTGTTGAATCTCATTAGATCCTTCCAGGCCCACCTTTCAAGTCTGTTGAGGTCCCTTCCTTCCACTTTGTCACCTGCACCACTCACTAAGAACAAGCAATCTCTAATCTAAAAAATGCCACCACAACACCTGTTAGTAAGTTAACAACACTTCTGAACTTACCACGTTTCAGAGATCGCACGCTGAAATTGCAAACTGCTCATCACAGAAACTGCACACTCCTCTCTTCCCACAAAGCTGCCTGCAGCTTAGCAATGATTTATATTATCCTCACCTCATAACAACACAGCAATACCAGATCTGAGGACACAAAGCTCTGCGAGGCTGTGTAACTGAGGCAATGTATAAATTTGGGAGAAAGAGAAGTAATTAGTACATTAAAGTTAAATATTTGCTATTGTCTTGCCAGCACTTGACAGTATCTCTATGCACTGTGATGAGAATACGTTACTGGCAGGGAAAGCAGCTCTGGGTTTGCCTCTCACTGCCGTGCTGAAAAGATAGAAATTAAAAATGAATTGGACAAATGTTTCTCTTTAGGCTGGGTTTTTGTTCCTTTTTATCTTGTCTCTTCTGAAGATAACGCTGTCCATTAAAAATAGAAAACATCTGCTCCAAAGGCATTTTTAATCCCTCAGCCAGGATGATTTACTGTCACACTCCCCAGGAAGAAGGGAACCAGATGTAGTAGCTTAAAGGTCTGTGACACTCTTCTTTAACAACAGCATCAATATCCCCATATTCCAAGTGTAACTGTTTGAAAGAAGCTCAAAGATTTCAAAACCTGAAGAGACATCTCCTAAAAACACACCATCAACTCCCCAAAAACAGCTGCACCAATTCCTGACTTCATTTCCAGCACAACACTTTCTAGATGGCTGATCTTCCTCAAAGCAAACTGTAGTAAATGCTGATAGAGGAACAGTGTGAAGTAGGCTCTTTAGCAAAACACAGCTTAATAATCCACTTGCAATTGACCCTGACCCATCTGGTGGCTCTCTATGGTGGAGTGACAGCATTGGTGGACAAAGGGCAGCTGATGTCACCTACCTGTGCTTCTGTGAGGTCTTAGATATGGTCCCACACCACAGTTTTAACTCTGTATCAGAGAGATGCATTTGAAGGGTGGGCTACTCTGTGGATAAGGAAGTGGTTGCATGGTGGCAGCCAGAGGGCCGTGTCCAGGCAGAGGCTGGTGCTGAGCTGTGCACTCTTCCAGGGCTCCATCTTGAGACCAGTGCTTAGCAGCAGGAACACAGACAGTGGGAATGAGCGCACCCACAGCAGTTTGCTTTGAGAAGGCTCCAGGGAGACCTCACTGTGGCCTTCCAATATTTGAAGGGAGCATATAAACAGGATAGGAACAGCTGTGTGTGAGGGTGGATGGTGATAGGACAAGGGGAATGGTTTTAAAATGAGACAGGGGAGGTTTGGGTTGGATATGAGGAGGAAGTTTTTGAGCCAGAGGGTGGTGAGGCACTGGCACAGGTTGCCCAAGGAGGCTGTGGATGCCCCA